GAAATCATTGTCTGGGAGAGCTGTGTTCCAATCCCACCTTTGTCACAGACTCGCAACCGCTTCTCCCCTTCAGTAAAATAGACTGCCTGAAGACTACTTGAAGGCATAATCATCCACTGAGTCCCCCGGGGACAGGAGTATTTTCGGGGGCACTCAAAACGGCATGCGATCTGGCAGCCGCTTCCCAGGTTCCTTTGCCATGCTGCAGCCGCTCTAGACACAAAACCGCTAGGACCGACCCTGGATGACTAGCCATCCATGTATTGCTCTTGCCACAATGCACCCCTGCCAGCCCTCCCACCTGAAAAAGAACTTACCTTTCATTATCCCCTTGCTGAGGAGTCCTGCAGCCAGGTCCAGGGTGCTTCTAGTGAAACAAACAAGGGAGAGGATTGAGGCTGGACCCTCTCTGGAGCAGGCCTCCAAGCCAGACGCTAATTCTGCCAGATGTCTCTTATCATAAAGGATGGATCTCAAAGGGTCACTCTACATTCCACAACATCACAGCTGCACTGAACACAGCAGACCCAGCTCAGAGAAATGAACACCATGGCTCTGGAGAACGAGACAGCTATCCCACCCCCCACCCCCCAAAAAACGCTCCACCTCCCAGCAGTCTGCAGAATGGACTTCACAGTCCCACAGAGCACCGCTAAAATGATTTTTTTTGTAATGTTGCTTCGAGCAATGCTAACGGCCTTGCTGACATCACCCCTACTCACCCTGTCACTGCCCCATGAAGGCGGCAGCGACGTCTGTCCTCCACACCAGCATCCCTCACTTTCTTTCTGGGGTTTCCCAACTGGCCTTCTCCTTCTTCTTCTTCTTCAGTGTGCAGACAGCACGCTGCCGGCCACACTCCCTTCTTTCTCTCTCTGGGTTTTGGGCCGGAGCCCAGACAAACTTCCTTGATATTTCAAAACAGGGCAAGTGGCTTCGCTGTGTGCCGGCCGTCTCCTGCCGAAGTCTCCACTCCCATGGCTGCTGCCCCCGATCTGGGGGTGGGGAGGGTTGTGAGGAGGCAGAGAGGCTCTGGAGCCTGGCCGAGATACGTGCTGCTCCCTCCCTCCAGCCCTAATTGCTAACAAATGTCCTCTTTCCCCATAGCAGACAGGGAAAGGAAGAGAGAGAGGAGGGGTGGGGAAGCGGCAGGCAGGTTGTAAGAGCAGGGTGGTTGGAGGCCCGGGAGGCCTGTTGGAAAGCTGGGCCCTGGAGCCCAGATCTGTGCATCCACATTTCAGAAATGAAGAGAAGCTGCAGACCCGTAGGGTCCTCCCCCCCCCCCACAGCGGGAACGTGGTGTCTGAAGAGATGTTCAGAGGTGTGCAGTGGGGGCACTACAGTTGGGGAAAAGGACGGTGTGTCTGTGCAAATGTTATTCTGCCCTCGGCTCTTCGTTCACTGGCAGACACTGGGTGGCATGTCACTGCAAGTGAACACAAAGAAGTATTTAACAACTGGGAACTTACCTCTGTGAGGACGTAACCACATGGAAAGCCAGTTGTCTCTGTAGTGGCCCACCGAGCAGAGAGTGGGATTTAACTGGGAATGGATTTGGGGTTAAATTCACTCCGCAGTGACCAGTGTACTAAGTGGAAACACACAGTCACCCACGGAGAGAGTTAAAGCTATGTTTTACTCAATGGCTGCCTAGTGCTCAGTCTCAGTTTGCCATCTGCCACCTGGGAATACCTGTGACTTGCCCCACACGATAATGATTGTAAAATGTTGGTATGGACTCACGTGCTAAGCAGTTGTTTCCCGTACCTGTGTTGGGTCTCTTTGGAGCACTGTAGACTTAGACTTATGGTCTTTTGGTCATATATATTTTATGTACAAGCATGTGGAAGCAAGAAGGCAATCTTACAGGGCAGCTGATCCACTGAGAATCCCCGAGAGAGATCCGATATCCCAAGATGCTCCAACCAACTCTTTTTCCTCTGTCTCCCGTGCATCCCTTCCCTCTCCCCTTAGCTGGAAGGTCATCTCCTCCAAGCTCTGATGGATGCTTGAGACAGCCATAATCTCCTAACAACTGGGTGTTGGCAGAAAGTGCTGTCGAGTTGCAGCTGACTTATGGCAACCCCTCATGGGGTTTTGAAGGCAAGGGATGCCCAGAGGTGGTTTGCCATTGCCTGCCCCTGCACAGCAACCTTGGCCTTCTGTCCACGTACAAACTAGGGGCAACCTTGCTAGCTTCCGAGATCTGATGAGATCGGGCTAGTCTGGGCTATCCAGGTCAGGGCCCTCCTAACAATGTGGAACATCAACCTGCCATTCTGAGCCACTAACCTAACACAGGAGTGGTCAGCTGGTACCTACAGCATTATGCTGAAAATTGAATTCCTCTGTATTGCAGGGTAGATATATTACCAAGCTCATGATGGGGAGAGAAGCCTGCTTTATACCAACTCAAACCATCACGATTAGGCTATCAAGGCCAATATTGTGTATTGTGGCTGGCAGCAGTTCTCTGGGGTAGAGATCTTTCCCATTACCTACTACTTGGTCCATTCAACTAGAGGTGGCAGGGGATTGAACCTGGGACTTCTTGCGTGCAAAGCAGGTGTTCTGTCACTCTGCCACCTAACTGTCCTGCTTGACTTGGCTGAAAGTTGTTGGGAACCATAAGCAAAGTCACATTTTGAGGAGAAGCCGCCTTAAACACCCACTCTACTCACAGGCATTATTATGTAAACAAACACGTATCATATCAATCACATATCAACAGGCACAGGTGTATTGGATTTGGATCCAAGCTTCTGTGAGCAGAAGGGACCTTAACCAAGTAGATCTTCCCCTGCCTTTCCCTTCCAATAGCATCTCCCCCCCCCCCCAAGCCCCTGCATGCCCAGAAAATCATGTACTGAAGTTCAGGAGACCCCCAAGCAAAATGCACTACAGACTGCAGTGAGGATGGGGCAAAATGTCTCCCCCACCCCTGCTTACCCAGCAGAGGAGTTTGGGAGTGCTGTTGTGGGAAGGGAAAGCCCTATTTGCACAAATTCCTTCCGATCACCTAATATGGGATCCAGCCCATACATGAATATGTGTAAGCACTTTCACACACACACACACACACACACACACACACACACACACACACACACACACCATACATAAATGGGGACGGGATTTTTATCACGGTTAGCATTACCAAGTATTTCCTGAAACCATGAGATTTGCAGTAAGATTATGAGAATATCCCGGATTCTCAGATTACAAGCCAAATATCCAATTAAAAAACAAACCACACTGCATCACTTAAAAAGCTGCTGGGGCCCCAGATGCAGCCTTTCGGAACAGTCCAAGAACATGGTCATTAAATATATATATATATGGTGACTGACCCCTAGGAAGGGGAGGAGACACAGATATTCTTTCAGAGTTTTTTTTTTTAATCTCCTGTGTATTAAGTGCTGTCATGTCACTTCCTGCTTATGGAGACCCTATGAATGAATGACCTCCAAAATGTCCATCTCATTTTGGGACTTCCTCTTTTCCTGCTGCCTTCAGCTTTTCCTGGCACTGTTGTCTGTTCCAGTGAATCTTGTCTTCTCATGCGACCAAAGTACAATAGCCTCAGTTTAGTCATTCTAGTTTCTAGGCAGAGTTCAGACTTGAAGTGATCTAGAAATCACTTATTTGTCTTTTCTGGCAGTCCACGGTATCCGTAAAACTCTCCTCCAACACATTTCAAATTAACCCCACACACATCTCATTAAATGTTTTTGGAATCACAGGTCTAGGAGAGGGACAATCTTATCCCTCCACAGAGAGGTCAGATTGCTTCTAATCCAGTTATTACTGGCTGGAGCTTTCCTGGTTGATCGGGCTAGGTGGACTTTGGGTTACAGCTTGTGGTCTACAGAAAGGCATCTGTTTTATGTTTCATGCCAACTGGACCAACACAAAGCATTCTGGGGTAGAAATGGCAGCCTAGGGTACAGAGCCGTACAAGTCCAGAGAAATGGGGCACGGTGGGTGATACACATGAAACCACTGGTCCATCATGGTCAGGACGGCAGTAGCTCTTACAGGGTCTCAGGTTGAGGTCTTTCACATCACCTTCTGCCTGATAGTTTTTTAACTGGAGATGTTGGGGCAACTGAACCTAGGACTGTTTGCATGCCAAGGAGATGCTCTACCACTGAGCCGTGCCCACCTTCCCCACACAAGAGGTTGATTCCTCTAAAGCCCAGCAGGAAGATTAGGATAGGGCTGGCGTGTAAGGAACTAGGAGGAATCAGGTAATCATCCATGGTGCTGGAAGTCTCCATGCGTGGTTCTCTGGGAGTCATCATGCAGCATCCTAGCCTAGAGTAAGCAGTGACATGAGAACATAAGAGAACCTAAGAACATAAGAGAAGCCAATGTTGGGTCAGGCCAATGGTCCATCCAGGCCAACACTCTGTCACACAGTGGCCAAAAATACCAGGTGGCATCAGGAGGTCCAGCAGTGGGGCCAGGACACTAGAAGCCCTCCCACTGTTGCCCTCTCCCCCCAAGCACCAAGAATACAGAGCATCTCTTGCCCCAGACTGAGAGTTCCCATCTATATCTTGTGGCTGATAGCCACTGATGGATCTCTACTCCATGTTTATCCTCTTGAAGCCGTCCATGCTTGTAGCTGCCACCACCTCCTGAGGCAGTGAATTCCATGTGTTAATCACTCATTGGGTGAAGAAGTACTTCCTTTTATCTGTTCTAACCTGACTGCTCAAGGAGCTGCGGTGGCTCAAGTGGTTAAGACGCTGAACTGCAGGCTGTGGAAGGTTGGTAGTTCAGCAGTTCGAGACCCGAGTTGCCGCATGACGCTCCCGTCTCTAGTTCCAGCTCCTGCCAACCTAGCAGTTTGAAAGTAAGAAACTGCAAGTAGATAAATAGATACCACTTTGGTGGGAAGGTAACAGCGTTCCGTGCGCCTTGGTGTTTAGTCATGCCGGCCACATGACCACGGAAACGTCTTCGGACAGCGCTGGCTCTTCGGCTTTGAAACGGAGATGAGCACCGCAACCCTAGAGTCGGATTCGACTGGCTTTCGAGCAAGGGAAACCTTTACCTTTACTTTAACCTGACTGCTCAGTAATTTCATTGAGTGCCCACGAGTTCCTGTGAGAAAGGGAGAAAAGTACCTCTTTCTCTACCTGCACTATCCCATGCATAATCTTGTAAACCTCGCTCACGGAAGGAGGGAGGATGACAGGCCAGCAAAACTGCTTGTTCTGCCTGGATAGTTCTAGCAGTGGACAGCATGCACCTGCTGCCCTCTGGTGGTGGAAGTAAGGAGATCCAGTGGAAACAGAGGCAATTCTTCAGCCACAGGCATGCCACTGCTGCTGGCTTACTCGCCATCCTCTTCTCTGTCCCCTTGTCATATTGAGCAACCACAACGAAAGGCCAGGGCTTCTGCCACAAAGGTGAGGGGTGGCTTGGGAGGAAGGTCATGGAGCAAGTCAGGCTGATTGGCTTCTGCAACACCACAAGCCAGAGCACTACGGAGACTTGAGTCCGCTTTCTCTTGGCTGCCAGTGCTCCTCACCCCCCACCCCACAAGGGACCCACTAGTAATTTTTAATTTAAATGGCCAGTCTTTCCCTGCACTCCAGTTACTGCAGAACAACGCACAAAAAGGGACACAGAAGAACCCCCAAAACAAAGGCCTTGTATTAAAAGCAACCAAAATAACACAATACAGGAAGGCAAGTGCTTTGTGCATTATTCCATCTCTGGAAAAACCTGTTGTAACTTCAGCCAAGTGGGGCAGCGAAGGGTCAGTCTAATTAACACAGCTCCATGCATCTGTCAAGGCAGGCCCTAGCCCACTGTCAGAAGGAGTGACCCTA